GTTCTTGTTGTCCTTATTGTTCACTTTGTCCATGCACGCGCACTATGAATAATCTCTGTCCCGCATTGGTATTCTGAAACTGGAACTGACATTCGTTTCCTGTTCAGAATTTTTCTTTGACTCCCATTTCTGGCAACCCAGCTTTACAAACACAATGCATCCCGCAAGAATGATGGATGAGCTGGCCATTATGAAAGACACATTGTAGTTGGACGTTAAGTCATAAAGCCGCCCTGAAAAACAAAAACAAAAACTAAAATGAAACCACATGCAATCGTGTTATCGTGCACACATCATTAGAATATGATTTACACGGTTAAAGACAAGTTAAATACGTCAGGATTGAATTTTCAAATGTCATTGTTTGAATGTAACTCATACATACCTGCCACAGGTGCACCAAGCATAGAGCCAATACCACTAAATAGTAAATACCAGCCAATTGCATTTGGTAGATGCTCAACACCTACACAAGCTTTCAGAGTAACAGCGTACATTGGCATACAAACTCCAATGCTAAATACAAAGCAAGCAGCTACAGCGGCAAGTACTGCATAAGATCCATTTGATAATGGCATGCCCATGAGACATGCTCCAGCAGAGGAGAGTGATATCGCAAACACTGCAGCTGGGGAGAAGTATCCTAAATCGACAAACCATCCATGTAAACTTCTTCCTACTAAACTTGTGATTCCCATAATAGTTATTAGGAATGCAGCGTCGAGCTTTTCTATATTTTCAGAAACAGCTTTTGACACAAAATGAACCAATCCAATATTATACCCAAACCCCACGAATACACCAGCAACGCACATTACTTGCAACCATGAATTATGTCGCAACAAAGTAATATTGAAGTTTTCCCGTAGTGCTGAGCATCTCTGTGATTTTGTGGATCTTACTGCTGCGTGTTTTACCTCGTCTACGTGGTTATGCGCAATGTCTGTTCTTACTTCATTGTATGTTATATTGTCACCTTGTGTAACTCTACACTCTTCCGTGATATCCGTTGATTCAAATGTGTCTCCATGATGATTTGATTGGTTATCTTGTACCTGATTGAAATCCGCTTCTTGAACCACTGTGTTATCTGAATTTAGTGGTTTCATCAGCATTCCAGAAACAATGATATTCATGTAGAAACCTGCTATTACGATTAATGCCGACCGCCATCCATATGTTTCAATTAACATCTGATATAAAGGTGGTAGGGCCATCATTCCAATCGCAACACCAGTGAACACCATCCCATTCGCCAAGGCATGTCGCTGTGTGAAGTACTGTCCGACGATCACGATCGATGGACCATACATCAGCGAAACTGCCAAGCCTTAGATATAGTAGAATTATGTTGTGTATAATGTTACTGAACGCATAGAATTGAACCAGACCTTCAATTTCTTTATATGTATAACATTTCTCAAGTCATTACATTTGCGTAATGAAAATAAAATTATTTATAAATAATAAAATGTACATAATGATATTATATATATAACATTACGAATCTTATTATTTGTAAATAAAACTCATGATTTCTATATAATTGATTTAAAATATCATTATTTAGTAATAATGAAAAATCACAGAATTGTATACATAATAAGCTTAAATCCATAAAAAACGCTATATAAATAAATGCACAAACGGCACCCCATATCCGATAAGATATAAACATTCTTAAATAATCTTTCTGTTAACGAATAAATATTTTCCTATACTGTTTCATACCTAACATCACGCCATACGTAATATATACCCACACTAAGCTGGTTGCAAAGGAGGTCAATATGACTGCAATAGTTGATATAATTCCTGCAGCTATTACCATTGGACGACATCCAAACCGCCTAGTTAAACCACCAATAAAGGGGGCTACAATAGATGGATAGTAGACAGAAAGTAATGTGTATTGGATTGTTATCCAATAATTTAAATTTGCAATGCACATATATATTTCCAATGCACATATATTTATATATTGGATAAAATGCTGATTACTGCCAACCTGAGCGATGGATGTAGATGTACTTGTTCGAAACACATGCACTCGTGCTTTTGTTTCTGCTATGTTGTCGATGAAAATCCGTTTATATTGGCCAATATGAACTGGTTTCATCAAGCTGCGAATACATGTTGATCCATAACCTATATACGATCGTCTTAAATTATTAACATGCAAAAATCGTATACCAAAGCCGCTAACAATATATAACTGGCATATACAGTGTAGTTGAAAAATTACAAAATTCAAATCGAAATAATCATCTCACCTGTCAAAGTACGAACTAAAAACTGGAGTGATGATACTGCGAATGTTTCGCCAACACTTTTTTGGAAATATTCTGCGAATAATACTAGAAACATGGTTGAAGCACTGATGCTACCCGCAAATACAGCTTGTATGTACATACATCCAATGACAACAACCCATTTATATAAACTGGAATCTTGTTTGGCTTTTGAATGATTCATGGTCATTTGTCGGGATGTGTAATCTGGAAAATATATTCAACATACCCACTTTGAAACAAAAACAGTATATGATTTCATTCATCGCCGTTCACAAAATACTTCTCAAATGTCTGAGTGCAGATTCGTTGCCACTTGGATATTTTGGGGATGTTTTCCTTTTTTACATTCAGTGTTGGTTTCACACTGCTAATTTGAATAGCAAGTGCAATAAACTAATAAAAACACCCAAACGCACTCATAAATACTGACAATTCAATTTAATTCTAAAACGCGATTTTGTATACAAAATAATATCTCAAAACAATAATGGATCTTTTTATCTGAGGGTTGTATCTATATAAATGAAAAATGAATGAATGATTATATCTCCGCAGTTTACAGTTGGTTAATGGGGGAAGTCAAATTCAAATAACCCTTAGAGAAATTATTTCTTTCCTGTGAGTCTGCAACACTATCTTGATCACTTGTTTACAAAGGTTTGATGGTTTGTATGTGATGTGTTGTTCAATAATAATGTCACACATGGGATGTGAAATGCAACTAAGAAAAAGAACACTTTAAAACACGTGGACACCCGAGTAGTTAAGGTCTACTATAGGGACGACCATGAGGGCGCTGTTCATATTGGGATGCTATGACGCCATACGGGGATGGGTGACGTCACAATGGGATACGTGCATAGATGAGCATAAATAATGGGAATTCGTGCATAAATTAGCATAAATGAGCGCCCATGGCCGTAAGAGGGTTAATTTTGATGACGTCACAATGGATATTGTGAATACATTTACATACATAAAATAGATTTGAATACGAGGTCGTAACGAGGTCATCGTGAATACATTTGCATAAATTACCATCATTTTTTTTTTTTTTTTTTTTAATTGGATGTTTTAATTATTTTTTAATTGGACGAGCGTGGACGTCACGAAAGATTTTCAAAATGTATCGTAGATGGCGCTCACACACACACACACACACTAATAAATACACGTCATTTTAAAAACTAACGGAGTTTATACATTTATTGCACAAAAGAAGTAAACAAGAATGAAATATTGACATGGAGTATATATTTATGGCATGGTTGAGTATTTTTTTAACATCACAAAAAAGACATACGATGCGAGTAAGGAAAATAGTTGCGTAGTGTATAAATGTTTAGGATGATTAAATATTTCTTTGTTAACACCTCGAAAAATACGTACATACATGTAAATGTGCGGCGTGGTTAAATTTATTTTTAACGTCACAAAAAATACGAGTACATAAACGATTCGATTAAAACACAGAAACGAGAAAAGTCAATAATAGTAAACAGTGATCAAGAAAAATAATTCATTCTATTTATACAAATGTTGTTATTTTTACATTTCTTACTTCGTATCAATGAGTCAAGCAGTCTGTACACTTTTTTTATTCCATCACTATAATCAGAATCGCTCATCTGTCGTACAAGAAAAAGAGAGAGAGAATAATATTAAAAACCTATAGTTATATAAAGAAAGTATAAGTTATGTGTTGAAAATTTAAAAGTATGAGTCACCCCGTAAAACTGCGGTCATCAATCCGCTAAAATACAAAGTAGGTTGATCGACGTACAGCTTGTTTTTCAAAAACATGGCGGACTATGCTACTATGAGTTAAAATTTATAATTACCTGATCGTTTCACAGAATAACTTTCGACATACATAATCATCACACAGAATGAGTTTACCGTGTAACGTAGCGATTTTCGTTTTTCCCTTGGTGAAGAAGATATGTCCTCGCTTCTTGCGAAAGATTCAAAGGTGGTAAAACCAAGTTTGACCTTCGTGAAAAGTTCATCTCATGGCCACAACGAGTCATACAGGACGTATTGGCAACACATGGCTTGAAATCAAAGTATTCGATGATTGTCAACAAAACACCGTTTTTCTCGAGTAAAGCATCTTCAAGATTGCAAAAGAATGCTCATCTGAAAAATACAATATCACTTCTAGTTACAGTTCAGTTGACATTGTAGTTTGATGTAAAAATAAAGCACAATTTAAAAAAGTTCACGGTCTTCATGAGCAACATGGAACGCAATAAATAATGGTGAGAAATAGTGCCTTCCGATGACAAATACGTCATAGTTTTGAGACAAGCATAGGTTCTCAGAAGCTGCTCGTTCACACCTTTAACCAATGGCGCTTCCTAACCGTCCTAGTAGAGTGACTGTGCTTAAATTATTTTTATCGATTAGCCTTTGCTAAAATACTATCGTCATTTTCCACATCATTAAAAAAAACATGGCCCGCAGCGGAGGGATTTTAATTAAAACACATTCAATCCCGCTTTTTTTCAGATTCGATAATGCAAGACATCCTGCCAAAATCTCGTAATGACGCGTTCTCCGTGTCAATGTTACGATTATACTCAAAATTGACTCTATGGGGGATAAACACGGGGTCAACTTGATTCAGTCAACATCAATCTGACCCAGGCAGTATGATGGTTCCTATCCATCAACTGTTCACTATTTTGCGTTTTTAGTTTTGACCCATTTGAAGGACAGAACCAGTCTCGAAGCACAAAGGGCTATAGCCGATGCACCAAAAAACGAGTTTCTCTTCCAATGGCTCGAAACCAAATTAGATGGAGCACTATGATTCTTCACAAATTACGCTGACATCCTTCGCAGCCTGGCAAAAGAAATCACTCAAATAACCTCACCACCAGATTCGAATTTCCATAATCAATGACAAAAACGAAACATCATAGGTGATCTCCTGTTCGAGGTAACGGGCTTGGCTCAGCTACAGAGAGACAATTGAAGTTACTAGCTCACTAAATTGAACACTTTGAAACGGGAAATCTAGCCAATCATCATCGAGACATCCATTCACAAACGGTACGTCTCAACAAAACAACCGATTGATGAATTCCAACAAGAACAATCCTGACATAATACCCAAACTACGGTCATTGCAAAAACATGTGAACGTCAGCACAACATTTCTGGAAACCCACAAGATAAAGGACATAATGTTAGTATATATGTTAATTACTTTACGATTGGAAACTGTTTAGAACACATTTTATGAATGAATTGGTTTTCCGAGTTTTAAAAATCATTGAGTAGATATTCATGCATTAAAAATAATGTTCAACCCTTTGAATTTGTGTCTCACGCAAAAACCTCAGAACAGCATTACTAAGACAAAATTATCTAAATTTTGAAATTATACATATTTTAATACTAAACTTACCATTTTTTACTATCGAACTACTGAATCACTGTACATAAAATATACTGTACGTATACCATTGACAAATTCAGACTGATGTGACGACATGTCGGTCATCAACGATTTTCAGAAAAGGTGACTGTCGAAAAATAGGACACCAATAATTTAAAATAACTATTTATACTGGAGAGAATGAGTGACATTTTATTATTATCATTGTAGATTCAATAAGCAAACGGGAAGCGGGTCAAGAAATCGTAATTGTTCAATATTATAGAGATGGTGCGTAGTAAACAGTACGGTAAACACGTATGCATTGCATACAGAGTCTTTTCAACGACGAACATCGACCAGTAATAATACCATACACTTTGTATGCTAATTCATGTTTAATAAAATGCGATAAGTTTCAAATATTGCCAAGATGTACAGGGAACACTCGCTTATCCATTAGGCAGATTCCATTATACAATTATAATATCCTGACCGTTGTTTACACTCTCGTACACCGACTCTTTAAGGTGACTAAGACATCGGTGGACGAGGAATGCGTGCATGCACGGTACGTCAACACTTCCATTGATAATAGTATCATTTGCAATATGGCGTAATATCAATCGACGATCCTCAGAATACTGTATGTATGTATGCACGTTGTAGTTCGAATGATTAGATATTTCTTTTATTTTGCCATTTTTTGTCAATTCTTACATTATGAACAGTGTTGACTTGCTCTTGAAATAAATACTTTTACACCGATGTTACCGATTGTAATGTTTATAGTGTGTACGTGAAAGAGATTCGCCTTTGAAACAATAATTGAAGACACAACTATATAGTCCTCAAATCAGCTGGGTGTTATTATTGAAGTAACGCATGATGCGTGATATTATTGTAATGCGGTCTGATCGCGATCCTGTATTGAATAAAGCCATGAATCAAATTGTCCTTACAACATGGTAAATACATAGGATATTAACGAGGTCGGCAATCTATTTATAAGTAGTTCTTTTATCGATGAGAAAGATCTGCTTCTTGATTGCGATTATGTCTAATATAATGTAAAATAATCTATTCCTCTATGTACACAACTTGAAACAGGCTTTTCAATTCAACTCGCTGCGACCGTATTATTATTGTGCAAATTAGGTAGTTGAATATTGACATCATGTTCAGTTTACCACCTCGGTTATCCCATCATGCTTTGTAAATATCTGACAAGCTCAGTGGTCACAGATAGTGTTGCGTATGCATGCATTGGAAGGAGAACAAGCCATGTTGTGTACGGTCGCAGTGAGTCCTTCAAATGGGTCAAAACTAAAAACGCAAAAGAGTGAATATGATTGTATTTAATACATTCTGTTGCACATTCAAGCGGAGTCAGTCCCTTGTCATTTGAACATTCAAACGTTTGTCCTTCCTTTACTAGAATTGCGAAATCGTGGATATTCGAAATCATGTTTAAACAAGCAGCCTGTCGGCTGAGATAGCTCCGCTGTTAGCAATGCACATTTCAATTAAAGAACTGAAAATATCATTAGAAAATGAACAATATGTGTAGTATCAAAGCAAAGGACCTTGCTGTTTTCAACAAGAATTCAAAAATATCACTTTTCACCAAAAATTGACAAAAATAATCATCAAAATTAACTAATTGAAGATATCACCACGAAATTAACAAGGTCCACATGTAATACCTATATATGTAATATAAAAGCAATCAGACTTGCGGTTTTTAACAAGAAGTCGAAAATCTCACTTTTTACCGAAAATGACACAAAATATTC